CTACCGGGTTTCCCAACGTGTGGCAGACAATTTACGCTCGAGAAAGTGAAGATGATAACGTTCCAGGCTGGGTTCAGCCTCCAGCCGCGGCAGCAATTCCTACGGCTGGCGGAGGGAGAGTGGTCAATCTCTCGGGAGCACGACCTGTTGGCGTTCAATGAAGCACGATTTCGGCACAATTTCCATTCACCACATCGACAAGCTAGATTCCTGTATATAAGCATCGTGCTTTGTTCCCGCATTATACCAACTAGACGACGATGAAACACCTTGAACCCGAAAGGCAGAGTAATATGAGATTCAATTTAATATACTCGCATTTGAATGCCGAGTCTCGGAGATCCGAACTTCCGAAGACCGACCATTACATATCGAGCAATTACGGCCGCCTAATCCTAATCCCCGAGACACTTGCGTTTAGAGCATGCGCCGTGATCGGGGAAAGATCAGACGTTGACGCTCGGGGTCGGGCCCGAGATCTCGGCCCTATCGCAACATCCGAACCTGTGATCTGCAACTAAAGCCGACCCGACTATAGGCGGGTTCCTGCTTCTGCAGACTTCCTGGCTCGAGTCCAGACGGTGGTAATTCTGCAAGCAGAATCCGTAAGCACACATAGCACACATGAAGGACAGGATTAATTCTTGGCTGCGGCCTGCGGATCCTCCCGGTGGTTGCGGCCCACATTATTCAGTTCTTTTGTTGAGGAATCTATAGTACAGCTGCACGAAGGCACTTCCAATGGTTACACTAGCTACCTGAAACGATGACGACGCCGACGATTCCCATTGCCGAGTTGCGAGACAAATCCGCGGGACAAGCTTGCTTGCGACTCAGGCTTGATGGTATAAAAGGAGGGTTGTATCCAGACATCCTCTTGTCCAACAACCGATCTCTTCCTCTATCATTCTCTTTTCAGTGTCAGAACGTGGGCTAGAATCTTTCCTTATGCACGTCATCTCCACCCTGGCCGGTCTGGCAGCCGTTGCGCCACTGGCAGTGTTCGCTAGTCCCCTGGCACGATCTTCCACCTCGCAATTGCCAGTCATCAATACCACCCTGGGTGATGTGCAGGGTCAATACTCACCTTTCCGTGGCGGTGATGTGGCTGTTGTCTATAAAGGAATTCCTTTTGCTGCTCCTCCCACCGGCGAAAATCGCTGGAAGGCTCCTCAACCTGCCACCTCGTGGAGTGGTGTTCTCAATGCGACTGAGTTTGGTCCTCAGTGTGCCCAGACTATCAGCAGTGCGGGTATCTTCAGCAGTGGCAAGACTACTACGAGCGAGGACTGTCTATACCTGAACATCTGGACGCCCAACTACAACGACACCTCGGACATTACCTCCAAGAATCTACCCGTGTACTTCTGGATCTACGGTGGACGGTTCGAAGGAGGCTCGGGAGATGTGCTGACCTACGATGGCACCGGTCTCGCGGCCAAAGACATCATTGTTGTGACTATCAACTACCGTCTGGGCGCGTTTGGTTACCTTGCCCACCCCGAGCTTTCCGCCGAGTCGGGTCACAACAGCTCCGGCAATTACGGCATTCTTGATCAGCAGGCTGCGCTGCGTTGGGTCCACGGAAACATCGCCAATTTTGGTGGAAATGCCAGTCAGATCACTGTGGGCGGACAGTCTGCCGGCTCTGCCAGTGCCCTCGACTCCATGTGGAGTCCTCTGAACAAGGGCCTGGTGGCGGGTGTCATCGCCGAGAGTGGTGCGCGTGGCCCTCACGACCCCATGACGGGTAGTGCAGCAACCAGCTACCGCACCAAAGCTGCTGCTGAAGCCCAGGGTATCGAGTTTCTCAAGGAGTTGAATGTTACCAGTCTTGCTGCGGCCCGCAAGGTCTCCACGGAGACATTGATCGGATACGACTCGCTCAGCGACACCATCTTTGAAGGCACTCAGTTCCAGAACCTGTCCAGCTTCTTCATGGAGCCTCCCATGTGGCGCCCAAACATCGATGGCTATGTCCTCCCTTACGGCTACGGCGAGTCTCTGTCTCTTGACGCGCACCTGGACGTGCCCATTCTCACTGGAAACAACAAGGACGAGTCAGGCGCCAGCCCTGACGCAGGCCTGACCGTCGCCAGCTACAAGGAGCTCTACACCGAGCTGTTCGCCAACAACGCCAGCCGATTCTTCAAGCTCTACCCCGGCCAGAGCCTCGCCCAGGCGAACAACAACTCCAACGAGTTCTACCGCGACCTGAGCCGTGTCGGCACCTGGGAGTGGTCTGTCGACTGGGCCGCCGGCGGTGCCAAGAGCCCCGTCTACACCTACTACTTCACCCGCAGCCCTGCCGAGAACCGCGACGAAGGTGCCTATCACGGCTCGGAGCTCTGGTACACCTTCAACAACATCCCCTACTCGGACTACTCCAACGTGACCTGGTACCCATACGACTACATTGTGGAGGAGCGCATGTCCAACTACTGGGCGAACTTCATTCGGACCGGCAATCCCAACGGAGATGGACTGCCCGAGTTCCCCCCCAGCACCAAGGAGAAGCAGCAGACCATGTGGCTGGGCAACTCCTGGGGCTCGGGCCCTCTTTCTGCTGAAGATGCGCGGATTGAGTTTGTGGAGAGCTGGATGGCGACGATGCCTGAGTGGTAGTTTGGGACGGTTTAGCATTGTTTGGTAGATTGTATCGGTTGTGCAGTGGCACTATGACACTGTGCGATGCTTGAGTTCGGACATTGTCCATATCTGACTGATTTGAGTCCTCGAAGGACAGGAACGGGACCTTTGTCTTCTTCACATTCTTTCACCTGTATATTGCTAGATAGCAGCTACTTTGCTTGGAAACTGTGTGGTTTCGTCTTGTCTTTAGATCGATTGCATCGAATGGATTTCACAATGTATCACAATGTATCTACATGGGAATAACAACTAACTAACCCAACAATCGAAAAAGCCCAAGTCAATATACAGCAGCTCGTTTCCTATAGTAAGTACACTCTCCAGAAAGATTGACGCTACCTGCATCCATCACCGCCTTAAGACTTCAGTTCAATCTGTTAGAGAACATGGCCTAATAAGAAAAGCCCAATACCTTAAAGATCTTGGAGATGAGTAGGAAAAAGAACTATTCATATATGATATGTTATGTATATCCTTCTTTTATAATATATATATTCTATCACGTACTATCTTACAAAAATAATACCTGTAGGGAATAGAAAGTTGAGGACATGGTATATTGTTTTGGTTCCTTGTTAGGAATCAATGAAGAGATCCCGCCTGGTAGATATCGGCAAGAGACGGATCTCTCCGTAGGAGATGTGGGTAGTCTACAAAAAGTAGGCGTTGGCATAAGCCTGGTCTGGACACTCTAACGTGCTAACCCCGTTCTGAGCCAGACAAGTCTGAAGCAGGAAGTGAAAGAAGCTTCCTTTTCTGCTTTGGGAACTGTAGGGAATGCTGTATGATGTACGGTACTCCGGTGTTTACTCCGGCCAGGCGTTCGAGACACTATTCCTCCTCGGTTGAGCTCTGCGGGCTGTCTTGTCGTGGTCTCGGAGCGGCAGATGGAAGCATACTCATAGATATCTCCTTAGATCTAGAAGCACCTTCTCTAGTGAAGAATGTACTGTACCTCTGGACCGGGTAAAGGGCTCATCCGACCGAAACATTACTATATACTGGAACGAATCTCGGGTGCTGGAGAGATTGATAATGCGGTTAACCGAGGTCGCAGACCATCTTTTTGAAAGCATCGGGACGAGACTCGGGTATTTTCTAGTGTCGCCCTACTTGTGGCACTTCAGACGACGGACTGCTAGCAAGCCTGGTCTCTTCAAAAGACCATTCTAGAAACCTGACAGACAATCTGAGGCATGGCAGGATCGGCGGCACCGAGGTTTTTTTTTATCGCGGGAATCAAATTCAAAATCCTTTGCATGAAGCACAGGATATGGTCAAGTCTTGTACAGTACTAGGTGAAAATAAGTCGTAGATTGATAAGGGGGGGTGGTAGCTCGAATAAACCCCGCAAGTAAAAGAGGACATGTCCGTGCGATCGCATGAGTAAAATAAAGCTGCGTGGAGGTTGTCAAATGCAAAAATAAGAAGAAGACAAAGAAAGACCGTGACGAATGTCGTTTCTATAATCCATCTCTAGATCAGTGTCCGCTGTGACGCTATTTAGCGTCGATCGGCAAGCATGAGGGCATCACAGTGTCAGTGGCCTTGACTGGGTGGAGCGAACGATACATTCGATAGGCAAGCTGCAGCCTGTAACCAAGCGATTCATATCTTAAGAGCATAACTATATACTGTGACAGATGCTGTAGCGCAGTTCGACCGTTCGACAAGGTTGACGCGATATGCATTTTAAGGAGAGCGTCGGGTGAACTCCCCAAAATTAAGACCCGTGCGCTCGGATAGTGGCGCAGCAGACAGAAGGCGTACGTTTGAGGATCCATAGTTTGAGTGATGATATCTTAGATGACCCACTTTTCAATGTTCTTTGTGGGATGGTTGGTGTTGTGAGTGGGTTATGGGGGGTCGAGCCGGATAAATACTATGGAAATGCCAGGATTGATAGCTCTCTCCGGCTATGAGTAGCCGGGAAAGGACGGAAATTATGAGGAAAAGAGTGATACATCGGTGCATCAAGCATTTTTATTCTTTCAAGCCAGTAGCTCTCCCACGTCAGTCGTTGAGGCAGCGGATAAGAGAAACTGGTGTTTGATGATGATGCTTTTTGGCTTGCGCAATCCGACGGCATCTAAAAGTGGAGCCGCAAAGCTTGGCCCGGCCGCTCAATCTCATCCCCTTCAGGAACCGGCTTGCGAATAACGCGTTGACCTTCATGTCTGGAGCAACACTTGTTCTCTTTTCCCTCCATACAGATACGCAAACTCTCCCACTTTTGCTTGGCAGCGCTTTGATTGCGTCATGCTTTAATTATAGACAATCCACCTCCCTTCAGCAACAAAGGAGATGTGGATAAATGATATGATGGGAATATATACATTCCCACTGGTGGTGCTAGCCACGCCGACGTCGGCTTGCGCTGCAGTTCAATCTGCGATTATCCTCATGATATGCTGTGTTCATTCTCTCGCCGCCCCTGGACTGGGCCTATAACTTGTTTCTTTGTGTTGAGCACATTGCTTGCAGCTATCATCTTTCTAGGCATCCCCAGTCTACAGCGCTTACGCCTACGTATCGGCGTCTCATTGTTCGACTCAGGGTTTCTAGGCCTGTACCCCGTTCGCGAATATGTCTCGAGTGGTCTTGTGTCCCCGAAGCTGGAACAGGTAGCGTGGGATCCGCGATGCAGCAACGACCTGGTCTTCCTCTCGGCTCGCGGCGACGCGGTCGAGCAGCCGGGACCCATGATCTTCGATGCCCAGGGGGAACTGGTATGGAAGCTGCCACCCACCTCCGAGCGGCTGGACAATTTTCAAGTGCAAAAGTACCGCGGAGAGACATTCTTGACCTACTGGCATGGGGTCGGGGAGAATGGCCATGGCCGCGGCTCCTGGATCATGGTAGGCTGACCCCTTCCCATGCTGCGTCAATTGACACATCTCTGACAGATTCGCTGGCTAGGTGGATTCGACCTATACTCCCCGTATCGAAGTCCGCGCCGTGGGCATGGCGGAGGGCGACATGCACGAATTTCGCATTACCCCCAATAACACCGCCCTCGTCATTGTCTACACCACCGAACCGGCGGATTTGAGCGAGCTGGGCGGGCCACAGCACGGTTATATCCACGACTGTCTCTTTCAGGAGATCGACATCGCCACCGGGGAGTTACTCTTTGAATGGCGCATGTCAGAGCATGTGCCTCTAACCAGCTCCTACGAGGCATTACTGGGCAATGGGTGGAGCCCCGCGCATCCCTACGACGTCTTCCACATGAACAGCGTAGACAAGGACGAGGCCGGCAACTACCTGGTTTCTGCCCGACACACGCACTCGATCACTAGCGTCGATAGCCGCACAGGTGCGGTGCTCTGGACCCTTGGAGGGGCGCTGAACGAGTTTGCGGATGCCTCCAACGGCTCCGCCACCGACTTCGCCTGGCAACACCATGCGCGGTGGCAGGATAGCCAGACGATCAGCCTGCTCGATAACGGCGCCAAGTGGTTCTTCGACGAGCCCACCGCCAGCCGTGGGCTAGTTCTGGATTTGAACGTGCCCAACCGCATCGCGACTGTCAAGGCGACCTACCAGACCCCCGTAGAGCAGCCAACCGGGGCGCTCTCGCAAGGCAGCATGCAGTTGCTGCCAGACACAGGCAACGTCTTCATCGGCTGGGGCCACTGCGCCGCGTTCACGGAGTTTGCGCCGGACGGGGAAGTGCTGTGCGACACCCATTTCGGGGCGGGTAACTGGTTCCAGCTGGGCCAGGTGATGTCCTATCGAATCACAAGGGGCCGATGGGTTGGCCGACCCAGAACCCGACCTGACGCAGTCGTCCGCGGGACCTCGGTATACGTGAGCTGGAATGGCGCCACGGAGGTGGCGAGGTGGCAGGTCCAGCGCTGGGACGGTCAGAACATGGGTCAGCAGATGGCCTTTACTGCCGAGCTGACTGTCCCTCGCGACGGGTTTGAGACCGAGATCCCTCTCTCTGACGAGGGAGGGACGACGGTGTATTTCCGAGTGGCCGCCCTAGACGCGCAGGGTCAGGAACTCGGAGTCTCCCAAGTACTGGGGCAGCAACCCCAAGGCTGGGGCGAGTGGTTCGCGAGCCGGTATCTCGACCCCATGTCGAGTGAAGTGGAGACGACGCTGGTCTTGGTTGGTGGTTGTCTGAGCTGGTGTGTCTTTCTGCTCTGGAGATGGGTTGTGAATCGCAGGTCGAAGCGCTGGGGATACAAGCCTCTGTCGCTGGAGATGTCACCTCGATATAGCACGGACGATTCTCAGGAAGTATTAGGATAAATCGCATGTTTAGGATGTAGATTTCGCGGATAGTATACCTCTCTGTTTTTCTCTTTTTTCTCCTTTTTCACTTCACCAAATACATATATTTGATAGCACGCAGGGAAAAGGGCCCTGATCAGTAACAATCTTGTATGCTGAAATTCTAGACGTAACCAGGATCTAGTATACCTGAGAAACTGCCGATCTCAAAATCAGTGCCTGTGAAGCAGTGTCGCTGGTCCGTCGAATAGGTCACCGGTGGTGCCAACCTTGAAGAGCCCGTCTACACCCGCGGTCCTGCTGAGAGCTGCGACAATGGTGCGTATCCCTGACACTGTGCGATGCTTTCTAGGTATCTCATGATTTGAGTCCAGAATGAGACGGGATTTGAGCTTCTTGACATTCTTCCACCCGTATATCACTATAGCAGCTATACGTTGAACCAGTGTAGGTTTGTGCACGAACCATTGCATTATATCGCGATCATAAACATATCTACTGCCCAGACAACCCCGGCATCCAACTCATATCCACCAACCTGTGTCCTACACTCTCAGACAGAATCCACGCCCATGACCCACTCCAATACTTCAAGTCCTTACTCCCCCTTCTGCCCCCCCTTCCCTTCTCCCTGCTTCTCCCCGGAACCCTCCCCCCCGGAACCCTCCCCCGTCCCATTAACCATCAAAAACCTCCTCTTCTCCCACCCGACCACATCCCCACCCAGATTCCCCTTCTTCAACACCCTACCGGGCACGACCCCTTTCTCCTCCAACCACATCAGCGGCCAGAACACCGCACACCCGACGATGCAGAACAGCGTCGCCCACGTCTGCGCCGCCAGCACCAACAGCTGCCCGATGCCCCAGGGCAGGACGAACTTGATGAACTCCGAGGGCTGGTAGAAGTCCTCCTGCTTCTTGATGTAGTACCGCTTCCCGGACCCTTGCACGGGGGTGCGCCCGTCCTCCGGGTCCGTGGTCAGGTCCAGCACGGTCGTCAGGGTCACCGGCGCCACATGGAAGGGCACCAGCCAGATGGAGAAGATCTGGGAGATGGTGAGGTAGAGTTTTAGGGAGGGTTTGTCGAAGGCTTTTGGGGGTGTTAGTCTTTTTCGGTTATTGAGGGGGGGTGGGATTGAGGTTTGATGTGAGTGAGCGCTAAGGCGACGTACCAACCGATTGCACCTCCAGTTCAATCCGCGGCGACATGATCTTGTACCATTGGTAGATCTTTTCGACGAACCAGCGGCTGCCCGGGTAGCTCCAGACGCGGCAGAAGGGGTGGACGAAGGCCGCGGACGGGGTGAAGAATTTCTGGATCGTGCGCTCTTGGTCTTGCGGGGTGGATTGCGTGAGGTGGTGGATTATGGTGCTGATTTCTGAGGCTATTCGGGGGGTTGAGGTTAGTGATGGTTATACTAGTGGTGGTTGTTGTAGTGGTGGTTATAGTAATTGTGAGCGTGATGGTGATGGTGGTGGTGGTGGTGGACTTACCTGGGTCTTCCATGTTGGCTGATTGATTGGTGCTTAATGTGCAGGGAGGAGCTTAATTGGTGAAACGATAATAGGTAGTAAGTTGAACTGGTGTCGGGATGATGCTGGTTCAATTGGGAATGGATTTAAATATAGGCAGGCAGTGGTTGATACAATGAAGTGATTGAGGGATGATGTCACCGGTTGCGTTGCATGTGAAAAGCCCGGATTCTCGGATACGATGAAACTCCACCCACACCAACCCACAGTAACCAAAGTCTGTGGACAATAGAATCACTACTTTTCATGGTATCGAATGTTATCTCAAAATACTCCACACAAAAACCAAACAAACAAAGTATGGCACAAATCACCGCTTCCAGCTGTCAACCTTCTTGCGCCGCTTCTCGAAGATCTGACCAACTCCCACTCCGTCGTCACGCTGCCCATCCTCGGTGACCTTGCGCTTCCGACTCTTGTCCAATGCACCTCCGCTGCCCTTAGCCCTCCGGGTGAGTTTCGTGATCCGGTCGGCGCCCGCGGTAAGATCCCTCCAATCTTCACCACCGTACTGGTTCTGCGGCCCCTCGGCCCGGAGTCGCTTGGCCCGGTCCTTCTTGCTTTCCTTCATCAGACGCACAAAGTTGGTCTCTTCATATGCGGTCCGCTCGGCCTCCCGCTCGCGTTCCTTCTTCGACTTCGTGTGTCGACCACCCTGCACAATCGTGCTACCAATGCTCGGCTCCGCCATAGGAGCGGACGACATCTCGGCGCTAACGAACTCGTCAATGACATTCGACCGCTGGGCGGGACGCTCGCGGCGCTCTTTCCGCTCGGTCGTAGGTAGGGCCGTAGGCATGATCCGGGGCGGTCTGTAGATACCATCACCGGCGGGTTCGTTGTTGAGCTTGTCGGGTCTGGCCTGGGGTTCCGCCCGCTTCGAGAAGGCGGAGACATTGGGCCGGTAGGCCATCTCGTCGATGTCCGCTCCCTCTCCCTCCTCCTCGTCCTCCTCGTCGCTGTCGCCCTCGCTGTCGCTGCTACCCTCCGATCCCGACTCCTCGGCGTCGGAGCCCTTGGCTTTCTTGCTCTTGCCTGTGGAAACCCCATCCCGCTCTGCGCGCTCGGCATCCTCCGCGGCCTTAATGACCTTGTCCACCTGGTACTTGAGTCGACCTTCCAGCGGGCGGACACCGCGGTCCAGGTAGACGCGTAGCTCCACAAGTTTCTTCACGATCTCCTCCGGGAGGGACTCGTCGACCTCTTCATCCTCTTCTTCATCTTTCTTCAGGCCTCGCAATTGGAAAATGATCAAGAAAACGAGGTTCTGGAGGTATGACAGGAGGAGGTCGGATTTGGTGTCGAGAAGCGAAATGCCGTCTTGCGGCGGCTCGATCGACACATCGGAGGGGTTTTCCCGGGTGGCCTTGGGCAAGGACGAGCCGGTGTTGTTCAAACATGTGGTGAGAGTCTCCAGGAGAGCGGAGACATTCTGCAGGCCCGAAGGCGCAGGTTGCGACACTGCCGCTGCCATTGTCATTTGATGTGTGTGTGGTTGCGTTCTGATGTGTTTGGCCGCCGCGGAAGATTTCGAAGGGAAATTTTTAGAGATGGCTTATCGGCACGTGCCGATTAAGTCCTTAGTCATTCGTGCAGCAATGGATAACTAACGGAATGTCACGTGGGCCAAGAGCGACGAGCTGGCCTCAACAACGGGAAAGCCTGTGAAGTGACGACCCTCCCGCCGTTCTGGGAACAGCTCGGTTTGGTCACTCCCAATTCTCCCTTTCTCCGATTCCGTTCCCTCTTAAAGGTGCCGCATTCCGCCGTTCGAGTTGGTTTCTGCTACTGTTCCCCCGAGCGGCCAACTCGTGCGATCTTCGAGAATCGCTTGCGGCGTGGAAGCTACGATTTGTGAGTTCCATCTCTCCCAGAAAGCTACGCTTACAATCGGTGCCTAGGCCCGGCCCCGAGCATCCTATCTCTTGGCCTCCCAGAGCCACGGACACGAGCTAACACCGCCCGCTTCTACTTAGAATCGCCCACCATGTGGTTCAGCAATCGAGCCTTACCTTTAACCACCCTTCTTCTCTCTGCCCCTTCGTTGTCCGCCGCTTTCTACCTCCCCGGTGTCGCCCCGACCTCGTACGATGAGGGTCAGTCGGTGCCGCTCTACGTGAACCACCTCACCCCCGGTCTCGCGCAGCAGGATGAGCAGCTGCACTCCGTCTTCTCCTACGACTACTACCACCCGGCCTTCAGATTTTGCGCTCCCGAGGGCGGGCCGAAGGATGTCCGGGAATCATTGGGGTCCATTCTCTTCGGCGACCGGATCCAGACGTCACCGCTGGAGCTGCATATGGGCAAGAATGAGACCTGCAAGGCCATCTGTGGCGCGGCCACCTTCGACGCCCGCAGTGCGAAATTCGTCAACCGGAGGATCGAGCAGGGATACAACATCAACTGGCTGGTCGACGGTCTGCCCGGCGCCCAGATCAACATGGAGGCTGTGACCCAGGACAAGTTCTACAGCCCGGGATTTGCGCTCGGCTCGATCAACGATGACGGCCTCCCGGTTCTGAACAACCATTTCGAGATCCTGATCGACTACCATCGGGTCGGGTACGGGGCCCAGGATAAGTACCGCGTCGTCGGTGTGCTTGTGCAACCCGAGTCTCGGGCCAATGCTCGGATTCTGGAGGACGGGACCGCGGAGTGCGAAACGGATGGGACTGGCGTGGTCCTGAACGAGGAGGGCGAGACCACCGTGGCTTGGACCTACAGTGTCTACTGGCGTGAGTCGTCCACCCCGTGGGCGACCCGTTGGGATAAGTACCTGCACGTCTACGATCCCAAGATCCATTGGTTCTCTCTGATCAACTCGGCCGTGTTTGTTGTGTTCCTCGTGGGCATGGTGAGCATGATTCTTATCCGGGCTCTGAAGAAGGATATCGCTCGCTATAACAGACTCGACATGATCAACCTGGATGATTTCGACAGCACTTCGGCAGCCGTGGAGGACGGCATTCAGGAGGATTCAGGCTGGAAATTGGTTCATGGCGATGTGTTCCGCTGTCCTAAGGCTCCTCTGCTTCTCAGTGTGCTTGTGGGCAATGGTGCTCAGCTCTTCATGATGACCGGTGTCACCGTTGGTAAGCTGCGTTGCGATCGATTTGCATGTCATGTTATTGACTTTTGTGGACAGTTTTCGCCCTCTTCGGTCTCCTTTCCCCTGCAAACCGTGGCTTCCTTGCGACGGCCATTCTCATCATTTACACCCTCTTTGGCTTCATTGGGGGCTATGTGTCGGCTCGTGTCTACAAGTCATTGGGTGGAGATGCCTGGAAACGCAATATCATCATGACCCCTGTGCTGGTTCCAGCCCTTATCTTCGGTACCTTCTTCCTGCTCAACCTCTTTGTCTGGGCCAAGGGATCTAGCGGAGCTGTACCCTTCACCACCATGCTCGCCCTGGTTTTAATCTGGTTCGTCATCAGTGTGCCTCTTAGTGTGGCCGGAAGCTGGCTGGGATTCAAGCAACAGGTAGATCACTCCCGAGCGTGGCGATAACGAGTCTTGCTAACGAGTTGACAGGCAATTGAGGGTCCGACCAAGACCAACCAAATCCCGCGCCAAGTGCCGCCCATGGCTGGCACGCTCCGCCCGATTCCGTCGCTCCTGTTGACCGGCATTCTGCCTTTCGGAGCCATCTTTGTGGAGCTCTATTTCATCATGACTTCGCTCTGGACCAACAAGATCTACTACATGTTTGGGTTCCTGTTCCTATGCTATGGCTTGATGGTCATCACATCGGCTGCCACGACGGTGCTGTTGGTTTATTTCCTGCTGTGTGCGGAGAACTACCGGTGGCACTGGAGGGCGTTTGCCGGAGCGGGAATGACCGGAGTGTACGTGTTCCTGAACGCCCTGCTGTTCTGGATCACGCGGGTCAGTTTTGGTGGCCTCACGGGTGCTGTTCTGTACATTGGCTATTCCGCCCTGATCGGCTTCGTGGTCTTTATTCTGACCGGTATGTGGTCATCCCGTCTGAAAATAGGGTGCATTCAGAGCAGTCAACTGACCATTAATGAACAGGCTCGATTGGCTTCTTCGCCAGCTGGGCGTTTGTGCAGCGCATCTACGGCTCGATCAAGGTCGACTAGAGAGTTTGCCGTGACATTACTGAGTAATTGATCGCGTCGTCAACTCGGCCCGCTCCCTGTGGAGCCACCGAGGCGTTTTGCCTCGCCCAGGCCAACCAGGAAAACCCCCTCCACTGCCTCATCCGGGGTATGACTGCTATTGTTATCTTCCCCCGGCGTTAGACTTTCGCAGACTCTGGGAGAATGGTTCGCATTTGTGAAGCATGGCCATTCCCTGGGAACCTTGTCGTTTTTGTACCTCGTAAGCCCAGTCGGTCGCTGGTCGCTGCTCTTGTCATTTTTTTATGAGATAGTTGTCACGGTCTTCTGTGTCCCTTGTCTAGGATATCCCATGTAAAGCGGCAGTTCATTGTTCTATTGCTCTGTGCATGATTCTTGCTTTCCTCTGTCATAATGCGCTGGTGTTTGTTGTTTTGTTGGTTTCTTTTTCTTTTTTTGGAGGAGGGCTGTACATAAATCGGGGGAATGAGTGACGGACAGATCAACCGTTGATGCTTGAAAAGGGCATTGGATATTCTTTGTATGTGTACTGTACAATACGATGGACAAGTCCGGAGTGGAGACCGTGGGAGAGGGTGACGAAGAGATGTGCAAGTAAGTCGTTGGGATCTAGGCCAGCCAGGCCAACGCAAGTCGTGTTTCAACCGCAAGGGCAATTGCCAAGGCCGCACATAAACATGTTCTGGACCGGCGGCTCGGGGCTATGAAGGAAGCATCACCGATTCGATCCCTCGGGCGTCGCCACTACTTTTCCTCTTAGTCTAACTTAACCCATTTCTAATTAAGTCGGATTCCTCTTCATTTGTTCCCTCCCTCGTCTCGCTCGTGTTCTGTTCTTTCTAAATCATCCTGCTATTTCGCGACGTCACTCGACTACACCCTACACTACACTACACTAGACTTACACGATTACCACTATACTCTCCTCCACCAGCAGCCTCGGTCCCTTTTCTTCCCTCTTATCGGTCCCACCACCGCCACTTGTTTTACCCCGCGCTATCCGAAACTCCGTGTCTTCTCTCGTCCTTCGCTGCGCCGTCCATCCCGCACACGCATCCCTGACGCACCCCTCTCCTACCCTCATATATCACCAAAATCGACACTGTGGTGTACGCATAGTTGACAATGGGCAAGTCGTAAGTGATGCGCTTCCCCAGTTGCCCCGCGTCGCCGTTCAAGAGGCGGGCAGAAACATGGAGACGCAAGCAAGGGCGCGATACAATGGTTTCGGGCCTTATGTCGCAGATGCATCTCTTGGGATTTTTCTCTTCATGGAATAAACCCAGACTAGATCTGTCTACTAGTCCTCTGCGCACCCCATGCTCTGCAAAACCTCTTGCATGAATTCCCCCCTCACCCCGGTCGAACTCTTATCCGCTGCCGCGCGGCGGCCCTCTCTCTCCCTCGTCCCAAACATGTACTCATGTTATCACATTACCCGCAAACTACAGTAAAGGCTAACATCAGAGATCCTTCCCACTGCAGACAGTCGAAGCTCTCCCCCGCTCAGCTGGACGAACTCCAAAAGGCGACACATTTCGATAAGAAGGAACTGCAGCAATGGTATAAAGGTGAGTTCCTTTTTCCCGTCGGATCTATACACACATGCGGCATATGACTTGCGAGCGAGCCCAACAACCCACCAGCAGCAGCTCAAGACGCAAAGCCAAGAACCGCCTGCGGAAAAGAGGCACTCGCGATACGCAGAACCGAAAAGAGTCAAGAGCTAACTTTCTCGGGAAACCAGGCTTCCTCAAAGACTGCCCGTCGGGCACCCTCACCAAGGAAGAATTTCAGAAGATCTACCGCCAGTTCTTCCCCTTCGGCGACCCGTCCTCGTTCGCGAACTACGTGTTCCGGGTGTTCGACTCGGACAACAGCGGGATGATCGACTTCAAGGAGTTCATCTGTGCCCTGTCGGTGACCTCCCGGGGCAAGATGGAGGATAAGCTGGACTGGGCGTTCCAGCTGTACGACATCGACGGCGACGGGAAGATCACGTACGATGAGATGTTGGCGATCGTGGAGGCAATCTATAAGATGGTGCGTTTGCCCCGCTCCCCCGGCCTTACCTGTACTCCTGGCACGGGCTGTTCCATCCCTTCCTCGGATTCAACCCCGTACCATACCCTCCCGAACTGACGAACTTCCGGCCAAACAGGTCGGCTCGATGGTCAAACTCCCCGAGGACGAAGACACCCCCGAGAAACGGGTGCGCAAGATCTTCCGCATGATGGACAAGGACGAGAACGGGAGCCTGGACATGGAGGAGTTCAAGGAGGGGAGCAAACGGGACGAGACGATCGTGAGCGCCCTCTCGCTGTATGATGGGTTGGTATAGAGCCAGTCCCTTCGCATGTTGTTTTCTTCTTTCTCTCTCTCTCTCTCTCTCTCTCCACTCGGTGAAACCGGCGCTTACCCGTTCTCGCTTTTTTCTGTTTATGCCTGCCTGTTTTTAGCTGTGTCGTGTCTGCGATGTGGGGAGCTCTACGTTACGTTACGTGATACATGTATTTTCATTTTCTTCTTTTCTTGTTGTTGCTATTTCGCCAAGGATTCCCTACGAATATGTTTGTGCTTGCGTTATGATGTGTGCGGGACATTTATGGGATCTTTTTTTTTGTGTGTGTGTTGTATTTGTTTCAAGTTATCAACATCCAAGACAGTCCCAATTAGGATGCGGGTGGGAGGGTACGTCATAGTCAGCGTTATTGCTCAGTTTCTCTCCCTCTCTCCCTTTCTCTCTCTCCTTCTGAAATTCGATGGTATTCTCGTTCTTCCTTCTGTATCATGGTTCTTGCTTTCTTAGGTTCAGATATCCTCTGTATTGTGGAATGCGGGCGGCTGGTTATGTGCTTGGTTTCTTTTCTTTCCTTTTTTTTTTTTTCGCTTTCCGGGGGCTTTTCCTTCTGTATGTACGGGTTTGTTGGTGTTACTATTGTTTATTGTGGTTGCTGGTGCTGTTGCTGGTGCTGGTGCTGGTGCTGGTGCTAGTGCTGCATACCCGGATAGATCCCCAGAAGCAGTTTCGAGGGTAGGGTAGGGTAGGGAAGGGAAGGCGATTTGTAAATAACGTTAACTTACACTTCCAGACCCCATTGCTCGCTTAGCCTATCATGCAAACATTGCGATCTTTCATGACCATCATCACCCGCGGCCTGGTTATTATTGTGGTAATCCCAGTATCAGGAAACCATAAGGATGTAGGGGAATCTCGACCTTGAATGACAACCCACCCACTCCTCTTGGAGGGTTTCCTGAACGTGATGGTCCCGATATCTCAAAACGCGATTCCGCTTGAGAGGATGGATGTTTTTCTACATGGAACGGCAACAACATTTCTGAGTTCTGTTTCTATCTTGCATCGTCATGCACACAAGAGGGGAATCGGGATCCGGCCATGTTTGTCATCCAGACACAACGGGCTATCCATCTATCGTCCGTAGGGCGAATCCTTATGAAACAGAGAGCGGTGATAGTGGGATGGGATGGGTATAGATAGAGGTGGGAAGGAGGTAGGTAGAGGTACTGTAGGGCGGCGAGGGGGCCGAGGGGGGGTATGAGATTTCCATCTAAACAGAGAATCAAAAATATCTCCCCGCAACTTTCAAGATCAAGTAAAGCAAGGCAAGGCAAGAAGCACAAGAACAGAGAAAGATATCATATGTAATCATGCCTCATGCCTCACAGTTAGACAAAAAAAAAAAAAAAAAAAAAAGAGAGAATGGTTGGGATATCTTCCCCAGTCAATACGAGAGGGCGAAAAAAGAAAACACGAGGTGGGCTTCATTCCTTTCGGCTTCACACACGATGCGACAGAAAAAGTATTTTCGGAGAATGAGAAAGATAATACACAATGAAAAAGAAAAATCGTGAGATATCATCGTCTATCGAAGAACCAGCTCGTGCGCTTGGCGCCAGTCTCCTGCGACTGGACGCCGGCTACGGGAGCACTGCTCTCATTTCCTCCGCCGCCGCCGCGGAGTGGCTTGGCGATTCGGGAGCCGCTGAAGTTGAAGCCGCCGCTGGCGTCCATGCTGGGGAGTCCGCGGGTCGAGCCCTGCTTCGCGGCCTCGAGGCGCTCCTTCACGGCGGTGAGTTGGGCTTCGAAGCTGTTTTGGGTGAGGTGCGTGGTTAGCTTGAGCTCTTGTCCTATACGGGGTTTAGCCGAGAGAATTCCCTACCGGTGGTTCGCTTGGGTGAGTTTCTCCTGGCTCTCCTGGAGCAGGCTCTCCAAGCTGGCAATCCGCTCATTCCGGGCGATCAGCTTTCGCTCCGCGATGGCGACCTCCTTCTTCAGGCTGCTGTTCTGCTCGACCAGCTGGCGCTGCACGTGAGTCAGCTGCTCAAGGTTGCGCTCCAGGAACGCCATCTTCTTCTGCTGCGCCCGGTTGTTCGAGGAGCGGAGGACGTTGTTGTACTGCTCCCGAGCATCATCCAGCGATATCTCGAGCTCGACCACCCGCTCGCAGCGGTTCTGCAGATCCCGCATCAGGGACTTCTTCATGGCGTCGAAGTCGGCGATCTGCTGCTGCAGGTTCTTGCCCGCTGCGCCGTTGGTCGACACCCGGGTCTGCGAGTCGGCAAGGGACTGGCGCAGCTTGCCTAATTCTTCGTCCTTGCGTGCAATCTCGCTGCGCAAGTCCGTGACGGCCTGCATCTCCTCCTCCTTGCGCGTGACGTACACCTTCTCCAACCGCTCCCGGATCTCCTCCACGTCGCCCTCGCCCAGGTTCCGTTCCAGAAGGGTCTCGTATTCCCGCTCGAGAGTCGCCAGCTTCTGCTCAACTTCCGCCCTGCGGCTGTCCTGCAGCTCGCTTAGCTCGCCCCGGTCATTCATCGTAAGCTCAGCCTGGCGGATGAATCCCTGGGTCTCCTGCAGACTAGTGCGCAGCTCCAGCAGGTCGTCGGGCGCAATCGTCTCCCCGGCTTCGCTGATCTTGTGCAGTTCGTCCACGCGCGACAGCAGCTCCTGGAGCTTCCGTTCGTTGTCGGAGAACACATCTCCGCCCAGGTCAAAGCCCGCCATCATCTTCGCCATCTTTTCGGCCTTCTTCTTTTCCTTCTCATCCAACGCAGCGCTGGTCTCCTTGGCCTTCATCCGTACGTCGAGCAACTGCTGCTTCACGTCGTCCAACTCAGTGGTCAATTCCGAATTGGCTTCGCGCAGACTGTCCATGGTGATGGAAGCTTCCTTGCTCTCATATGATACCTTCTCCAATTGCATACGAAGCTCATTCACCTCGGTGGTGAGCTTGTCGTTGTCCTTACCTGAGCGTGCGGTATTCTCCTTCATGCTCTTCAACTCCTCCCGAGCCTCGCGCAGGCCCCGCTCAATGCTAGCAATGTGAGACTCTTTCTCCGCGATCTGATCTTGCAGCTCGTTCTCCCGTCTCAGGAACTCTTCTCGCTCATCCTTCTCAAGAACCAGGCTTGGTGTGCTGGATCGATCCCCTAGTCTGGAGTCGGGACGGGGAGTCTCTGAGCGGGGAATGTCCTGGAAGCGAGAGGGAGTGCCAGGTCGAGGGGCACGAGCCTCAGCCTTAGCCGCACTGACGACTTCCGAACCTCTTGATGGAGTCCAACGATCCTTGGGAACTGCTTCACCACTGCGCCAGACATGAACTTCCGTCTCCAGCGCGGAGATATAGGTCTCGAAGTTGGTGACTTGACTCTGGGCCTTGCGGAGGAGCTGCTTCAATTCCGCCGGGCTGAGCTCCGCATTCACCTTCGCCTTGTTCTTAATAGCCTTGGCGCGCACACCGAATCGCAGGGTCGAGATGGTTTCCGCATCGTTGTAGCTACTGGGCGAGCAGTTAATGATCAAGGTTGTCCGCGAGTTACCTCCCAAACTCTCTTGCAGAATTCGAGTGAGCTTGGAATCACGGTAGGGAATGTGCGTCGATTTGCCGTCCGTCAGCGCGTTGATGACCATACCCAGAGCACTCAAACTCTTGTTGATCTTCTTCGCTTCCTCGAGAGTCTGGCCACTCGCACCGGTCTTACCGACCTTCTCACTACCCGCCAGATCGACCAAGAAGAGCTGACCACTCTTGGCCGATCCGGTCTCCAGATTCTTCTGTGTAACGGTAATGACGAAGATGGAATGCGACCGAGAGGACTCCTGGTTCATGTTGGTCGCCGCCACCGCTCTGGCCGCACCACCCCGGCGCATCACCTCGTACACCTCCTGGACGCTAGACACATAGACCTCCAGCAGGCCCTTGACGTAGACACCACGAGATTTCTCCTCGTGAACCGGCAGGTTATCGTTCTGCGGTACGAGCAAGTCGCGAATCCGCTCCATGTAGATCTCCATGTAACTGACCCGCACCGTGTACTCGATGTTACTAGGACTGGTGAGGATGCTGGCGAAGATCTGCTCGACAATGCGCGGAATGATACCCTTGCCGATGTCGTCGTCGATGTCGGAGCCCATCATCGTATACGACTTTCCCGCACCCGTCTGACCGTACGCGAAAACCGTGCCGTTATAGCCGTTCAGGATGTCATCCACAGTCGGTCGGATCGAGAAGTTGAAGACATCCTGTTGCTTCGAATCCATAGGGAACACTTGATCGAAGGTAAAGGCTCCAGAGCCTTCTCGGGACTGTTGACATGCGCGAAAAGCCGGGATTTAGCGACACTGGGAACATAACCCCTCCCTCCTCTCACTTCCCCCGCACTCTTGCTCTTCGGAAGAGAGGGTGCAAAGGGAGAATGGCTGAGGGCCAACTCAAAACGTTCACCTGAACAGGAGGACTCACGTTGACAACACATGATTGCTCATTCTCGAATTCGACGATCGGTTCACCCCCGGATGCCAATTCGACTTTGTTCTGCGGTCGGAATCTCGCAACCACTGTGTCGCGGAGCGGTTAGCTTAGTGGACACTATGGTTTCCCCTTCAAGCAGAAGAATAAGAGGGCGATAAACACAAAAACAGAGGGAGATGGAGAATGCGCACCCTTAATGGTGTTGGGGCCGTTGGGGCCAGATGACCTGTCAAGCCGAAAATTCCATCAGTTTTGGTTCTCGTTGCCGCGTGCGCATTGTGAGAGTTGCCCACGAGGTGGGTTGAAGCGGTGAACAGGGGGGGGGAGAGGGGAGCAGCAAGAGCCAAAACAAACGTACGCCATGATCACTCTGACCCGGACTCAAGGTGAGGCCGATGAAGAGGGAAAGGATGTGAATGACAAAGAGAAAGAAAAAGGAACAAGGAACCCCAGAGGGGGAGGGGGTGTTGCGAAAATGGGGGAGGGGTTCGTTCAAATCACAAGAAGGTAGGTAGGTAATGAGAGAACGGGCTTGGGAGATGGAGAGCGGAGAGTAAGTAGATGGACAGAACGGACGGACGGGACGGGACAGACTAAGGTAGACGGTAGACTAAACTACCTACTGTTTGGGTCAGGGGTCCACGTGCAATTACGAGTAGGCCGGGCGGTCAGAACCACGAACTGGCATCTCCCAATTTTGTGTTTCAGAAGGCAATGCAATGTACAACACAGTCAACCACCTATGCTCGTGACGTGGGGTCATCTCTGCCTAAGAAGTCTGAAGAAGTTTTGCATTCTTATCGGGCATTGAGGGAGGGACTGTCTGTCCCTTGCAATAACTAAAGTTACCGAGCTCGACTTTCTCTACCCAAACCAAATCCTGCCTGGCATTCGCCTGCCAACTTCATTACTTCATTGGAATGCTTTAGCTCCGCTGCGCAACTTTGCCGAGGCGAGAATGTTGGGGTGAGACTACATCATGAAGGAGCTGGAATCGCTGGCAGACGGTCTGTGATGGAAACTCAAATTTAAAAGAATTCAAAGCAGCCGAATTGTCGGGCCGAGTATCTGACATGCAGTAGCGGCAATGAGCAAGGAGACACCAAAGTCGAGTGCATTCAAGTGAAACAACAAACAACATGAACATAAACATGAAACCGATGCAGCTATTCATAATTACCAATGGGAGATCACGATAAGAAGAACAGATCAAGATGAAACCAGGCGCCAAAACCCCACGCTGTGCACGTCATCAACGGGGTGCAAGTCCCTTAGGTTCGCTGCCCTTGCATTTCCACAAGAGCATGATCAATGCCTCGGGCACCAAGCCCAAGTGGAACACAGGGCAAGCAAGACATTGTCAACATCGCCATGAACCCAAGAGATCCAAACCCGCGTATAGTAATATATCATAGTCGTCTCCCCTCCTCTCTCGTCTCTAATCTTCCCAGCTCTTCTCGACTGTTTCGCGCACCCGCTTGATGTACTCCTTGCGGTTATCTTTGTATAGGTTCGAGGCTTCTACATTGGCGGGGGATGAGGTGTTCGGGTCGTTGAGCAAGCTATAGACAGGAAAGCGATCGTTAGCATCGTTTTATTCCCGCGTCGTGATGGATTGGGAGTAAGCAAGGCAGAGAAGAGTCCTTACCTCTGAATACTGGTAAGAATCGCGGCCACGTCATAGGTTGGGCTCCAACGGTTCTGTAGGATGTCCAAGCAGAGCTCCCCCGTGCCGTAGACATTGGGATGGAACATCTGGCTGATGAATTTGACGCCTGGAGGCTTGTTGGGGTACTGCTCCTCGAAGTGCATCACGAGCCGGAATGTGCCGTCCTCAAAGGGCGTATCAGCGGGGCCGATAATGACCGCATTCCTGGAGGGGTTGTCAGACTCAAGACTCTACTGCGGGAGAGAAAATCAAGATGATTAGGATTACTCACCAGGTCATGACATTGTCTGCTACAGGAGATGCGGAAACTCCAGCAGGAGGGTCGGTTTGCATACGCTAAAATGAAGCATAGCTATTAGCTAATGTAGCTCGGCCTTGGTCGGTAAAAAGCTTGAGGCGAGAGTTGTGATAAGAGACCCATTTCAACGCAAGGGACATAGGCACTAACGCGGCGGACAGCTACATACCTTGAAATCGCGCATAAGGCGACGACGGGCAGAGGTCGACATTGTGGCGGGGTATTAGCGATGAAGGAGGAGCTATCGGAAGATGGTTCAAGAACAAGTCAGGGTGTATGACTGCAGGTGGCGAAGATCGCGGATGGGTGGCAGAGGGGTGGGCGATGTGGGTGAAAGATGAGGCGAAGAGGATGAGAGATCTCAGGCCGAAACTTGAGGGCAAGACAACGAGGAGTTGAAGACAGTGGAGAATTGGTCGGATGGAGTTCGGAAAGAGGAGAACGAACGGACGATAGTCGGAGCGGGAGGATGGGATGGCGGGCGTTGATCCTCGCTGCTAGTCACAGTGAGTGTTTGTTAGTTTTGTCAGGCCAGTCACTCACTGACCGTTGATTCAGCCTGCAGAACTAACCACAATAGGGATGGTGTGCTCATGCCATTTGAATTACCTAATGCTTATCCAGAAGTCAGACCTGTGAGCTCATCAAGGATGCTCTCACCGCCCGCTTGATTGGGAAGCATAGCATGCAGCCCGCCGGCCACAGGCTCGGCCCACTGCACGTGATTGCGCATGTAGTGTACAGTGCAATCTTTCTCCTTCCCGCCCACATTGGACTAACCCGAAGCAGGAACAACTATAGATTCGTCCTGCCATACAATGCTATAGCTGGACACTGCATTCCAGCAATCAAAGGGATGTCAAGCAGTGCCGGTCATTGACCCAATGCTCTGTGATATATCTGACACACTTTGAAGTTTCTATATCACAATCATGAGAAGTTGTTGATTACCATCGCCGTTTCGAGATGCTAGGACCGTTGGAATTACCGTTATTCCCCTCCTGCTCGGATTGCCTGGCCTGGTCGGCAGACGGGGAATTGGCCATCGGTGCGGGTGAATACGTCCAAGTCCTGGTCAGTCGCTTGCCCATCCTATCGAGCCTTTACGAATGATTTGCTAACTGCGAACAGACCCCCAAGACGGCCAATGAAAAAGCTGAGCAGGGCCCTGTGCAAAAAGCCATCAACGACTGGCATTCCAATCGGTTCAGGGTCAATGTTTTCAGTGAAAGCGAATGGCCGACAATCTATCCCCAGAAGCGTGACAATTTCTCGCTTGGCGGCGAGCAGTCCCTTAGCACCGTGGTAGGTCTGGCCTGGTCCCCTCCAGGACTCGCAAAGTTCCGGCGCTGTGTGCTCGCAGTCTTCACCTCCAATCTGCTGCTTTCCCTCTATGAGCCTGTCGGGATCCAAGGGAAATGGACGCGCGTAGCCATCGTCAATGATTCCCTGAAACTGCACTTCCAACCCCAGATCCAGGATGAGGGCTTGGCTCTGCGGAAATCATACATTCGGTCTTTTTCGTGGTCATCGCCTCTGAAAGTACCTATCGCGGAGCAAGATGCGGATTCACTAGCAATTTTCGGCGTCGAGAATCGCTGGGGCCATCACCTGTTATCAGTGGCAAATGACTCTAAGGATGTGATCTTCCTCCGAGTACGAAGCTTGGTAGCAGTGCAAAGTCCAAGGTATACAGCTGATGTGCTTGCCTTGACTTCCTTGAATAATCCCTTCGTGAGCTATCCTGAGGCTCAGCCATCATCGCTCTTTGCTGCTACTCTACAATCCAAAGCCATTGTATCATCAATGAGCTGGGGCCCATGGATCTTTCCGGGTGAAGACGGACAGGCGCAAAGCTCAACTGCCGGTCACGCGATAGGGAATCTGGCCGTTGTGTACGGCACAAAATTGAGGGTTCTCAGATTAAAAGTTGACCCAGCATGTCTCAAGTACGGAGCAGACGTGGGTCTGCCTCCCGAGCCAGTGGCCAAGTCCGAAGAGAACGCTTCAGCGACTGGCAAGAAAATGGAAGATCTTCGTTTCACCGGTCCTATTGAATGGATCAGTCTGGTAAGACAACATCTTACAGGGACATATTACTCGATTAACAACCACACCAGGATAATGCGCAAAGTCTTTCTTTGGCTGCAGGTGTCTTCGGGGGCCTCGCTCTTATCACCATGCCTCACTCGGCATATGAAGGAAATGAGCAGAAATCCGCACATATCGAGTTACAACACCTACCATTCTATGAGGACACGGCGACAGAGATCCAGTCCGAAGCCCCAAGGCATTGGGATCCAATATCATGTGAGCGATATCCTGTCAACCACACTCGCCCACGCTGACACGAGAAAGCCATGACTGTCACACGAGAGCCTGAATCTCAGAATCTCGCGCTGCACGTAGGAACAGGTGGAGGCTATGCAATAACGAAACAATTTTCTCCTAAACAGGAAGATCTGTCAATCTCCAAGGCCCCCTGGAAAAACCAAATCGACGATATGCGGGAACAGTTCGACTTCAATCGAGATTTCGGAGGTCTCGCCGTGGCCAGGATCTGGGGTCTGACCTCATGCAAAGGCATCGTTGCGAGCGCTACCACGCTCCACCCCGGAGACGTCATCGAATACCGCACAGCCGCCGAAGACCGAGTGATAGTAACCTTCTCCACGGCCATCGGTGAAGTCGCAGACGAGCTCCCCAGCGGGCCAACAGCAACATCGGACCCGGACTCTGCCTCTGGCCCTGACGCCCTCAGTGCACGGCGCGATGCGGCCCTACGGCACATTCTACATTCCCAAGACGAAGAAGGCGACAGGCCACCGCTGTCTGGCAAAGTATTATACGCAGCAGCGTGCTCCGCTATAGTCGACTGCGCCAACGAGGAGATCATGGCGCAAGCCCGCCAGGTCCTCATCAGACTCGCGACCATCACGGGCGCAGATCTGACCGAGGAGATCTCCAAATGCTCCACCTCCAAGAGCACGGTGAATGCCAAGTCAGCCGATGAGCTCAGCGGGCCCGGCAGCCCTCTATTCGAGAGATGCGAGATCTGCGATGCCAGCCTTGCTTGGTATTCAAACCAGGAAGCGCAATGCGCCGCGGGCCACCTCTTCGGTATGTAGCACACCCAGAAGAACGCGTATGCTATCCTGCACATCACAAACTGACAGCCCCTTTCCCGAACGCAGTGCGGTGTGGCTTGACGTCACTAGCGATCCAAGACCCCGGGGTGTCCAAATTCTGTTCCGGCTGCGGGAAAGAGTATTTGAACGAGGACGACATGGACTCGTCAGACGCGGATCTCCAGCGCTCTTGTCAACGGCTATTTGACATGTTCGATACGTGCACCTTCTGCGGCGGGAAGTTCCGTCCGTAGTGTTAGTTACCGGTAGATAGCTCAGTAAATACTTAACAACAAGTCAATGCTTTTCTCAACCAGTCGCTCGCTGAAGAAGGGATAAATTGCTATATGTATTGATTTTATCGGTAATGGGCACTAATACAGCCCCAGCAGCTTCCCCGCCACGGGATTCCACTCATCATCCCAACGCCGGGCACTCTCCCTGCGAGCCCCGTCCCGCAGACGTTCCAGCTTCGCATCGTCCCCGAACAGCTCGACGAGATGGCCCACCAGCTCCTCCGAGCTCCCGAACCCACGCCCATTGACCCCCTCCGTCACGAGTTCGGGCCACGCCTCGAACCGATTCCACCCGACCACCGGCAGACCGGCACCAAACATGTCCACGACCTTCATGGGCAGATCCACGCCACTGCTGCTGGTGTGCAGGCTGACGCCCAGCGACGCCGACGCCAGCAGGCGCGCGTAGTCCTCCATGCTCAGCCACGCGGTGCAGATCGTCACCTTCTCCAGCCTCCCCGCTGCTTCCAGCTCCCGAATGCGCCGGAGATACATCTCCTTCTGGGGTCCTTTGCCCGTGATGATCGCCAGGATGGCGGGGAGTTCTGAGGGGCTTCTCTGCTGCTGCCGCGCCAGCGCGGAGTATCGGCACAGGGCGTCGATGAGCACAGAGAAGTCCTCGTCCGCGGTCCAGGAGGTGGAGCTGACCAGGACGCGGAGGGCGTTGGTCGCGAGGAGCGGGCGCACGGGCTCGGTCTGTGGGAGGGAGCGGAGAAAGGCGGCGCGAGCGGCGGGGTCGGGGATCGGCTGGAAGTGGTCGGCGGGCCGGTCGTGGAGAGGGAAGATTGGGGCGCGACGGATTCCGAAGTCTCGTGCGAGGACGGTGGCCATCGCGTTGGTGACGCAGAGGTGCGCCGTCGCGTATTGGCCGAAGAAGCGCTCGTAGCGCTGGGAGAGGCGGACGAGCGGGTGGGCGTCGCCGAGCTTGAGGGCCAGGATCGTGTAGCCGAAGTTGTGCCAGTCAATTATCAGGCTGGTCTGGCGGAGGAGGCTGGTGAGGGTGGCGATGGCGAGGGTGGGGATGGAGGGGGGGTTCTGTCGTGGGGAATGGGTTGAGGTTAGCAAGGACGATAGGTATGGTAGGTAGGTGATGAGGGGTGACTGACTTGGACGAGAAGCCATTTGGCGGGCTTGGTTCGGTAGGCGAGAATCCACCAGAGACAGCCGATCTGGAATAGCACTTTGAGGGGTCCGAAGAGGAGGAAGAGGAGCTTGTTGCTTGTTTGGAGGAAGGTCGGGTGCGGGGGGAGCGCGACAATGGAGATTCGGGGGTGGGCGGTGATTTCGGGATGGACTTCCGATTCTGAAGAGGCTGTGTATTAGTTTCGAGGTATGCGACTGCGATCTGATCATCTTTGCGCACCATGGTAGCCGATGATATCCACTTGGCCTCCGCCTCTCGCTACGCTGAGCGCATGGTACTGCATGCGCGGGCTGCGACCGATGTCCCCTAGCACAAGAACTTGGACGGTTGTCTTTGGTTTGTCGGAGCCATCGCTTTCGGAGGCAAGTTGGGGTGTATATCTTGATGGGGAGAGGAGAATGATTGCCAGCGTGAGCGCTGTAGATGCGTAAAAGGCGATGCTGATGAGAGTTGCGAGCATGGTGACGACGGATCAAGCTCTTGGGGCGGTTATGAAGTCGATGACAGATGATCCAGCATCATGCACGGCAATAGTGAATCAAGTGAGTGACGCGCGATCAATAGAGGTCTCAGCTTTGTATCTCTTAGCCAGCAGAGGTATGTCTATTGATCCTGATCCTGCACGACAATGGAAGAAAGAAATCCAGAGAGCTCTGGGGGCAAGCTGGCCGCAGGAGGAATCCTGGGCCGATGAACGGAACCCCACACCGGAGAACGGAGGCACGGCACACACAGAAACACACTCGCCGGTCGCGTCAGAATAAACAAATCGGGCAAATTGACAACAGGCGCGCGGCTCGCATTGATAGGTTACATGCCACTGGACCAATTAAGTATCTCCGGCATTTACTCCTCTGATTATCTTTCAGTCTAGCTGGAGCTTTATCTCTCTTACCCCGGATCATCCCCTCATAAGTTAAATTATAGTAAAGCATTGGG